CTGAACCCCAAACATCCCCAAACCCTTGAGCCCTTAAACTCCAAACTTCCTAAACCCTAAGCCCTAAACCCTGAACCTCAAAAAACCCTAAACTCTACACTTCCCAAGCCCTAAACCCCTAAACCCTAAACCCCTGAACTCTAAACTTCCTAAACCCTAAGCCCTTAAAATCTGCATCCGAAAGCAGGGCTCTGAACCACTGCCGACTATCCGACAGTAGGGGTCTGAGGTGTGAGCAGTGGTACGGCTGATGAAAAACATCCTGCGTTACCCCTAATAGGAAATGGGAGTTTCCAAAAATTGGGGTACCTTATTTTGGGGTCCGTATAATAAGGATCCTATTATTTAGGGTGCTATATTAGGGTCCCCTATTTTCGGAAACCCCCAAATATACCAGAATTCCCATAGTGTAGGGTCCTTAAGGTAATGCAGGATTTATATCATCAACAGTATCCCCCGTCAGCGTTCCTGTTAGGGTTCTGTCGGGCTTTTGAAGGCTTAACATTAGGGTTTTAGGGTTTATAGGGATTAGGATTAGGGATTAGGAGGGTTTAGGAGCAATTCATGTGTTCTATACTTGTGATATGAGATAGCCCGCTGTTCGAAGCAAGCAGAACTGCACGAGATATGAAGACCCCTAAATTCTAAATCAATTCGAAGTCAATGCGACTGCTTGTCGCAGTTAAAACAATGGTTCACTCAGGAAGCCTCGACGCTGATAACGGGCCGTAATTGTTACTTGGAGTAGGGGTTATTTGGTTTACCAACTACAACATATAATAATAAGGGCATATGCCGAGGAGCAAGAGAGCACTCGCGGATACGTCGGCGACACGGAGGAGGCTCCTCAAAGGCAGCCGATGCCTGTTGAAGAGGACCGGGTCTGAGCTTAGTCTTGGTGCTCAAGAATCCCTAAAGCCTAAGCCCTAGCGCCAAATCCTGATCCCCAGCCCCTAAACCCAAATCTCTAGGCCCCATCTAGGGGTGTGAAGGGGTGTGTGGCGATCGCCGCTGAACTCTTGCAACCTGCCCATCTATCCGGTAGGCAGGTAGTCGCGATAAGAGCTTCGGAAGGTTTCTCTGGTAGCTTACTGGTTTGTAGGACGGAGGCCCAAACACCTCTATGAGACTATGCAAGCGCCCTTGGGCCTTTACACGCATGCGTGAAAAAACGCAACTACCGCTCCTCAAGGGTGAGCTTTTATGGAGCTAGGCTGTGTGCACAGCCATGCATGAAGGGGACTCGGGGACACCTACCTTCAGAACCCAAAACCCACTTTTTTGTAGGTTCTTATTATAAACCCTAATATGGGATTTATAGGGAACCTACAAAAAAGTGGGTTTTGGGTTCTTAAGGTACTTTCACAGCCCCGACCCCGACGCCCAAATTGTTGGATTCCATGTATTTTGGGGTTCTGCTTTAAAAGGGTTCCTTAAAGGGTTCTGTAAGGGCTACTGTTAGGGTTTAGGGTTTAGGGGCCTGAATAACTAGAATAGGCACAGCCCGGGGTGTCTTTGGTACAGGCGTCTTGCGTCATCGACGCATTCACACGCATGCAGGTGCACTAGCGTGCTGACTCGGTGCACCGGCTCACCACAGGGCTAGGATGCCCCTGCCGTCCAAGGGGCCTAAAGGAACGGTGTCTTCCCTAAGTTAAAGCAGGGATCCGATTTTGAAGGGTCCTAATCTAAGGACATTATCGGTAAATTATGTGTGCATCCTCTGTACAGGGGCTAAAAATACCGATCTTCGGACCTGTAACTGTAAACCCTACTTTACACTAACAAAACCTATTGTCTTGTAGGCTCTTCATTCTAATCTAGCTTGATACGGAATTTATAGGGATCCCCCTACTGAAAACTACCAAACCCCACCGTTGGTAAGGTAAGCGCCTAAGAAGGGACCTCGGAGGAAACCAACCCTAAACCCCAAACTCCTAAACCCTAAACCCTAAACCCTAAACCCATCGAAAAACACTCAAATCCGTGAAACCCGGAGCTCCAGTCCCTAAATCCTAAACTGCATAGTTAAAATACTCCATGCACTAGTTTATGGTTTAGGGTTATGTTTTTTCTGCCCTTATGGAACCCTTGAGGGAGCCTTTCGGACATTTCGAAGTGCTCCCTTGTGATCTTTGCGGGAGAGCCTGGGCGCCTGACATCTCTTTTGACGAGCAGGATGAAGCGAGCCTACAAAGACCTGCAAGTGATGGATGGCGTAGACGCCACCGATCCGATCGAGTTCAAAATCATTGCCAAGGGGAAACCCCTACAGTGGCTGTCTTTGGCAGCCCGCACATCAACACGCTGGGCAACAAAAACCCATGCATCAACTTGCGTGGAAACTACTCTCGTATTACAGGCTTCTGGATCGATTCCCACATTCTGCTGTCCTTTGTCCGCTGAGCAATCACCACAATCTGCGAGATGCTGCCGTGCATGCCATGTTGCCCTCGGAGAGCCACGACAACTGCATTAAGCTCTAAACACTAGACCCTACATCTCTAAACTTAGGCCTTTCAATCAAGGGGCTTAACCCCTTGGAGGAGCCTCTATCAAAAAAGTTGGTTAAGGGCTAGACATGAGATCTAACGGTTTCAACTGCACGAAAGCGCAGGGGACCAATTACAACTAAACCCTAAACCATAAACTCCTAAACCCTAAACCCTAAAGTCCTAGACCCTAAACTCCTAAACCCTAAACCCTAACGTCCTAAACCCTAGACCCTGCCCTAAACCCTAAAGTCCTAAACCCCAGACCTTACCCTAAACCCTAAAGTCCTAAACCCTAGACCCTACCCTAAACCGTAAATGCCTAAACCGTAGACCCTACCCCAAGCCCTAAACCCTAAAGTCCTAAACCCTAGACCCGACCCTAAACCCTAAAGTCCTAAACCCTATCCCCTACAACCCTAAAGACCTAAGCCCTCAACCCTATAGTCCGAACCCCGAAAGTCCTAAACCCTAAAGTCCTAAACCCCAAAAATCTCCGTCGGGCCGAGAGTTGAAAGGAGCGCCTTCAGAAAAAGGCGACGAGGACCAGGGAGTCTCCTGAGGCGGGGAGGCTTCGGTTAGTTCTTAGGGAGGGGGTTTAAGGGCTTTAAGGGCTTTAAGGGCTTTAGGGGTTTAGGGTTTAGGGTTTACGGGCTTTAAGGGTTTAGGGTTTAGGACTTTAGGGTTTAGGACTTTAGGGTTTAGGGTTTAGGGAATAAGTAGATAGATGGTGTTGAGGAGTATGGGTAGGGCTTTTGCTCTTCATCCGCTAATGAGTAGATAGAAGGGGTTTTTAGGTTTGGGTTCTCTTTTTAGGGTAGCATCAGGGTACTCTGGGCCTTTTTGAGTCAGACGCTTGAGGTTGAGAGTTTGGGCGTTTAGGGTTTAGAGTTTAGGAACATGGTGTATGTGGTTTGAAGGAATGGTGTTTCTATTAGTCGAGAATATTGTAGTAAGGCTTCCCCCTGGGTTCAGTCTGTGTTGTGTCCCGAAGGCAGGAGTATCAAGAAGTTTCTGGTCTGCAGTGTCGCAAGTCGTCTCAACAACCACGGGCGCCAAGAGCGCAAAAGCCTATCTCTTCAGGCAATAATGTTGTGCCGCATCTAGCTTCCGGTAGTTTCGGTCCTCTAAACCCTCAACCCCCAACATCCCTAAACCCTAAACCCTAAACCATCAACCCCCAACATCCCTAAACCCTAAACCCTAAACCCGAAGCCATCTCCTTTGGGATGCTGAATCTGTTCCTGCAGGCGAGCTGCAAGACCACCGTAATGCTGCGTAACCTGCCGAACAATTACACGCGAGACATGTTGTGCCTCGGCGAAACTTGTTTGGGCACGCTTGAACTTTAAGATCGCCATGTCAGGACTGGATAGTAATACCGACAATCAGTGCCAGCGACAAGAGTCTTCGATTGGTTTTTGGGACTGTTCCTAAATTGGAATTCTGCAACTCATGTGAGGATCATCTCTATTTCGGGTTAGCTACTTTCGGGTTACTGGTAGGCCCAGATCATGTTCGCCCGCCATGCGACCATCCTTTCATAGCCTGTTAGAAATTGGAAATCAATCACAGCCTTTCACGTAAGCGTCCAAAACGCTTTGAGCTCTCCAAACAACTGGAAACAGGCTCTGGTGAATCAAGATATTCAACCCAAGCAATTGTTTGGATTGTGATCGATTTACAGCATGATGATGATGATGATGATGATGATGATGATGATGATGACGAGTATGGCTTTGGTGAAGCTGATGTTCTTCATGCTTTTGGTGACGGCGCTTAAAAGATATTGAAGTTGTGCTGTCAATGTCCTCATTGTTGCTAGCACATTGCTACTGATGAGTCTGCCCTTGTTGGCTATGTTGAGTGATACCCACGGTGCTTGTAGCTCGATTGTTGTTGAAATTTCGTCATGCAGCCATGCTCTGGCGCTGATGTTGATGATGATGATGATGATGATGATCGTGGTGATGATGGTGGCGGTGGTGATGACGATGATGATCACGGTGACGGTGACGGTGAGGGTGATGGTGACGGTGACGACGACGAAATTGATGGTGATGATGACGGTGATGACGATTACGATGGCGAGCGTCTTTTCTGAAAGTTGATCTTTTTACGCATTGGATACCTGGGAAGTACGACCCGGCAATGCAAATGAGACACTGAAACCCGAAGCCGCGCATGAGCAAAAACCATGCAACACCTCGATAGCATGCTAACAACGGCAGAAAGCCTTAACCCCATGCACTCTTACCGTGTTTGATGCCAAGCAATGCAACGCCCTCGGAAAACCAAGTCCCTAAATCCTAAACTCTAAAGCAAACCTTACACCCAAAACCATCGCCCCTAAGCCTGTTCAATCATACCAGGCTCGAACTTCTGGACGAGCGTGGCATGGAGGGTCGCTATGACTTCGTGCACCTGGGACGATTCACTTGCCTAGGCCTTCAAGCCCTGCCCTAAGCTATCAGGACCTACTTTTTTGCAGGTGCTTATTACAAACCTTTCATGTAGGGGTTAGAGGGACCCTGCAAAAAATGAAACAGGTTGTAGTAGATTAGAAGCCCTGCCCCTACACTATTGCCTTGCGTTCCATCATGCAGCAAAGCCTAGAACATGTTCGAGGCTCGAATTCCCCAACTTTAAATCCAAAAACTGGGGCTGCGGGTGTAGAGCTTTAGGGTGTAAGGCTTATGTTTTGGGCTTTCGGAATGCCCATCTCAAAATCTCCAAACCTCAGCAACACGCACAAAGCGCCCCCGAAGCTGTGATTAGTCACCCCTCTTATAGGGGCCTGGAAAAGTTTGGTAGGATTATGAGAGGCTACTGGCAGTAGCCTCTCATAATCCTGTAACCAAAGTAATACTGTGACTGGCTGCTCAGAACTCGATATAATTATAAACTTGAAACCCCCTTAAGCATTTCGGCCTAGCCAGCACTCAGTGGAATTGATTTCGGTGGCTTGGGCGCCTGAGACTCTACAGCAAACCCTTAATCTAGGGTCTATATAGGGTTTAGAGTTTATTTAGGATTTAGGGTTTAGGGTGTATTTAGGGTTTGGTGTTTATTTGGGGTTTAGAGTTTAGGATTTATTTAGGGCTTAGGGCTTGGAGTTTATTTAGGAAACCTTAAATCCGCAACCAGAAGTCCATGCCCTTGGGCTCGACCTAGAGTGCTAGTTACTAGTTGTATAATTGGGCCCGTAGATGTTTGTTTATCCTGCTAAGGTACCTGCCCTGCGACTTCTATCGTGACGCCAACCTCGGCTATGCCTTCGTTGCTTTGCCAAGACATGATGGCATCACAAAGAACTGAGCTTACGGCTATTCTTGAAATCCCGGTTACAAAGATCCTCTAAAATGAGTGCTGCGACCTCTCAAAGTCCCCACGTACGCGTACCAAAGTAACCGTTCTTCTCATCAAGGCCCGCCAAACTCAAGCATATCATCGAGAAGACAGACACGGATGAAGAGAGGGCCTGGATCGAGCTCCCCAAGTTCAAGAATGTTGTGTACCATTACTTTCTGGATCTTGAGGTACCCAGGCCCAACTTCAACCTCGAGCACTTGAGATTGATCAAAGAGAGATCTCATGATCACAAGTCTTACAGAACCTGGTGTGCCCCCTTGACAGACGCGCATGTTCTAACGACCCTAGGCCCTCAGCCCTAAACCCTAAACCCTGAATGATCAGATCAACTTATACACCAAAAACCCTAAGCCCCTTGTAACCTGCAAATCCGAAATCCCGAACCCCAGCTTCTTTGCCCAGGTCAACTTGGTTGATCGCCAGGCAGTGGACCTCGTATGGAAGATCTTCGATGGCTTTTCCGAGTGGCGTCTTCCCACTTCCAAGGCCATGAATGTACTGTAGGCGTTAGGGTCGTAGGACAAGGGTTTTATGGGGCGTGATAGAGCCTTTTGGTAATCCAGGGGCCTTAATACGTAGAATAGGGTTTTGGGGTATATTATACTAAAACTAGAACAAATTAGAATGGGGCTTTGGAAAGGGGCTGAGTGTCCAGGGTTTCGGGGTTTGTATTTTTCGGTTCGCAATTTTGAGGTTGGGAGCTCGCTCTGGGTGGTATAGTCCCCAAACCCTAAACTCAAAGCCGTAAGCCTTAAATCCTAAACCACTGTATCCAGTAAGCTATGCTGCGTCTTCTTGGCACTTTTCGGGCTTGTACAAAACCGGTATTGAGAATCCCAAATAATTACCTATACTAAATTCCCGGATCTTGATGGATCTTGCTTTATCATTAATCCTTTCACATCGTGTTTGGATCTACATGTAGTCTTTCGCTGCCAATGCACTGCTTGCGTTTTTGACCGCGAGGTTAGTCAGGAAGGCTCTTTGCGACGAAATCCTCGCAAGGTGTGCCAGACACGGCGCCCAGTGTGAGAGATGGCCTCACCGTGGCCCAAGGGGCGTGGCCGTGCTCACTTGAACCAAGTCGTTCCACTTCCGGCTCATCGCGGAGATTTCCGGCAGACAGTGCAAGAAGTTTTGCAGTTGCATGTCCATGCCCCGAGTGCGCCGCTCAATGCAGATCCGCTTGCTATTTGGGGCCCTTCGTTCTAAATTCTCCGGGTCTTCACTAGCTACTGGGAGGTAGTTTAGGGTTGTGGTATAGGGCGGGGCCTAAAAACTCGCTATGGAGGTCGCTTAGGATTCCCTTGCCATGCTTACATAGCATTTCGGGTTGAGGGCATATTCCCAGGGACTTCAAAGCACTATTTGATTAAGGAATATACCTAAAATTGCAGCGGGACCCATAGTGTGAGTTTAGGTATCTACTTTTTTGAAGGGGGGTTTGGAATGTTTGGGAAGATGCCCCACGTTAAACGGCTCCTACATTAAGCTTCAGGGTTAAGATTGGGGGCATCATCTTTTTTGGGCATTCGGTGCTTTCAGAACCTAAACCCGAAACCCCCAAACCCTAAACCCTAAACCCTAAACCCGTAAACCCTAAACCCTAAGCCCCAAACCCAAAGCCCTAAAACCTAAACTCTAAGCCCTAAACCCCTAAACCCTAAACCCCAAACCCCAAGCCCTAAGCCCCTAAACCCCTAAACCCTAAACCCCAAACCCCAAACTCCTAAAAGGGTTCCTATAAGAAGCCCGGATACTTACAACGGGCTTTAGCAAAGAGCCTTAGTTGTGGTTGTAGTACCGATTATACAGATCATTTTGGTGAACCCCAAGTTCCAATTGGAAAAAACCAACTGAATACCTGTACTCTGAACCATATACCCGACAAAAACCCAAAGACAGGGATCGGAATAATGGCTTATTTTGCTTATAGGATCACCTACCTTATGGTATCTGTATCATTGTCGTATAAGAGAGTAAGCCCTCTATCGCCCCTGAATGAACCCTTAGAGGGTCACAAAAGAGACCTTTACAGGAACATTGTTCAAATTATTCAGTCACCTATTTTGAATCCCCGTTAACCCCTTTGATGAGCCTTAGACCCCATGAAAAAGGAACCCCTGAAAGGAGCCGAAGTTCGATCGCGAAGGCCCCTATAGTATAGAAACGTTCAAGCCTTATGAAGAATAAACCCGAAACCTTCAACCCTAAACCCTGGCCCCTGAAGAGCCTAAACCCTAAACCCTAAACCCTAAACCCTAAACCCCAGCCCTTGAAGGGAGCCCCAGAAGCAACTTCTGAAGGCCCCCATATTAGGGACCCAAAAAGCACATAAGCATAAGCTTTTTATAGTGGGCTTCATTATAAGGGGATTTATATGGGATATCCGGATCCTAATTTGTGCTTATGTGCTTTTTGGGGGCCCTATCATAGTATAGGAAGCGTCTTTCGGCGATTTTCTGTCAGGTCTGCCAGGTCCGCTGGAGTGGCCCGCATCAGGGATTTAAGGCTACGGGGGTTCAGGATTTGGGGTTTAGGATTTAAGGCTACCGGCGTTTAGGGTTTGGGTTTCGGGTTTAGGGTCTAGGGTTTCGGGTTTAGGGTTTAGGGTTTAGGGTTGGGGATTTAGCGTTTAGGGTTTGGGCTTTAGCGTTTAGGGTTTAGGGTTCCTTTGCAGGGTTCTTATAAGGTTTCCTTTCAGGGTTCTATGAAGGGTTCTATACGAGTTGCCTTGGGGTTTGCTGGTCCTATAAGCGCCCGAAACGCAAGGTGCTTTATAGCAGTTCCATATAAGTATAAGGGTTCAGGATTTCAGGCTGCATTTGGGAGTTCAGGGGCGACGGTTCAGGGTTTAAGCTTCTTCAAGGGTTTACAGCTTACTATAAGGCCTTACTGACTTTAGTGCTTTGAGGTTTCGGCGGCTTGGGGTTTAGATCTAACTTGGGGGTTTGACTAATATAGGGGCTTTAATAAATACCTATACTATTTCGGGGGCTCCTTATTATAATTGTAGTATCATATACCCCAAAACCCTGTTCTAACTGTTTCAGGCCCCGACATTAGGTAAACCCTAAACCCTAAACCCTAAACCCTAAACCCTAAACCCTAAACCCTAAACCCTAAACCCTAAACCCAAAACCGGGGTTCAGGGCTCAGGATTTAGCGGTTGAGGCTTGGGGTTTCTGCAAGAGGTTTGGAGTCTAAACCCTAAACCCTAAACCCCCTAAACCCTATTCGAACCCTAAACCCTAAACCCTAAACCCTAAACCCTAAACCCCTATATTAGCCTCATGGGCTTGAAAGTTCTTTTTGGGGGCTCCAGGGTTGCCCTAAACCCTAAGGTTAGGGTTTAGGGTTTAGGGTTTAGGGTTTAGGGTTTAGGGTTTAGGGTTTAGGGTTTAGATTCCTAAACCCTAACCCCTGACGGTAGCGTCAAGTTTAGGGTTTGGGGGTTCTCAAGATTTTTACGGGTTTGGGTGGCTCGGAATTTAAGGATAAAGTTGGCGGCTTCCTATGAACTTAACCAGAAGTCTTCGAAGCAGAAAAAGCACGGATGCTTAATTTCTATGCAGAAGCAGGGGGGATTAGCAAGCAGATTCTGTCTAGGGGGTATTTATGCTTCCTGCGGGGATGCAGAACAGCACCCTACACAGAATCTCCAGCAACTTTTTGGTGCAACCAAAGCTAGCTTGTGCAATGATTGATTGGTATACATGTTTGCTTTAGTTGTGTCCGGTTCCCCTCCCCCCCGTAGTTCTGTAATTAGCTTAGGCAGATGCTTTTTGCTAGTTCTTCCTGGAAAAAACCCTAAATCCTAAACCCTGAACCTTGTAGAAAATAACCCTGAACCCTAAACCCGAGCCCTACTCATAAACCCCAAACGCCTATAGTAAACCCTAAACCCTAAACCGTACACCGCTGGCGAAGGCCCACGTGGAGCGTTATCGGAATAGCCCGGTGATGCACAGAGCGGTTCCCGACATCTACAAGCCCGTTATCTTCAAGGACTGGGGTTTAGGCTTTAGGCTTTAGGGTTTTGGGTTTTGGATTTAGGGTTTTGGGTTTTGGATTTTAGGGCTTTGGGGCAGGGTTCAATTTCTTAAGGTTTAGGTTCAGGTTTCAAGCTTGAGGTGTGGGGTCTAAGTCGTTGTCCAACTGGACTTGTCCTTGCTGTGTGCTGTGGTTTCCCGTGGCAATGACATGCATTTCAGACGTTTGTTGTCCGCTCGTTGCTGCTGCTGGTGCTCTTCATGCTGCTGTGGTTGTCGTCACTGCCAGTAATGCCGCGGCTGTGAGAGCCCCTGCTGCTGCTGCTGCTGCTGATGCTGCTTCTGATGCTGCTATTTCGCTGTTGGCTACGTTATTAAATTCATTACGTGGTGAGTTAGGAAGTTAGCCAGTTGTTTGGGTATCTCGTTAAGGCACTACTGATTGTTCATGTCATTGGCCCTTGCTTGTTTGGGTGGCTCGCTGCTTGTGGTTGCTCGCCTGTGCATCTGGATTGCTGTTCGTTGGCTAGCCAGTGGGGTTCTTAGTCGCCGATGATTTCCTTCTATAGCAGGTCCTCAAAGAGGAGGTGTTTTGGATTTCTGAAACTAGATTAAATTAACAGTGGCCTCAGTAGCCCGATAGCTGCTGTATTTATGAATACCCTAAACCCTAAACCCTGTTTGCAGCGCTAAATTACAGGTGCCCGCAGCGTTCCTTCGAAACCCAAAGCCCGCAAACTTAATACTTGCTAAACCTCGTAACAAGTCCTCTGTAGGCCCTACCAAAACCTCACAAGTTCTATCCTGGACCTCACATTCATGTAGTTTGAGGATTTAGGATCGTACTTTGCAGCCTTCGAAATCTTGGGCCATCTGTTTTGCGCCGCAGCAAGGACGGCATGCGGAAGCCGTTTCCACGCCCCACGAAGCCACTTGGGCAGAGCAATATGCACGGTTAAGGCTTCGGGGTTCAGGGTCAATGTTATTGGCTTTTGCCCCAAGCCCCAAACCCTACTTTATAGTAGAGGCTAGAAAGTCGGAACATGATTATCTTTATGCCCTTAAGGCAAAGCGTAAGGGATCGTAGCGCCAATCCTCCTAAACCCATGTTCTAACTTTCTGGGATTCGCCGTAGACTTTAACGGCTGACAAGCGGACCCTCCCGATCTCTCTGCTCGGCTCCTCCCAAAATTAGGCTGGAAAAGCTGAACTTTTGTTCGCGTTTAGGGTTTAGAGTCTAGGAGTGTGTATTATACTAGTCACTAGTCATACCCTAAACCCTAAACCCTAAACACCGAACATCTTAATATCCGGGTCTCGCAGCAGCCCTTGCTGCAAGGGTTTTAAAGATAAGGGAATGGTTCAAGGGGTGTCCACCCCTCGGCAAATGTGCACCTTAAAAGGGGGCCCAGTATCGCCTATTATGTGTGGCTATATGCATGGAACGGAGGTCTATCCGGGGTTCCTGTTTATTTAGAACATTGGAACATGGAA